TCGGATGTGTGGGTGGCAGGGCAGGGTGTCCAGCCCGTCCTTTATCCATGATCTCCCAGTTCCCTGCCGCGCAAGCCGGGGGACCCCAGGCCCTCTGTGAGGGCGCCAGCCCCCAGGTCCTCCCTCGCGGCAGCCGGACACAGATGCCCTCTGTGGATGCATGACCAAAGGGACCCCGTCCTTCGCAGGGGATGCTTCCGCTGAAAGGGAGTTATTACCTGGGGGCGTAGAAGCTTCAGGAAACACAGCTGCAAACACCAAAGCCAGAGGCAATCAGGAGAGCTGAGCCTCCTCCCTGCAGCTCAGCCTCCTCCCAGCTCAGCCTCCTCCCAGCCATGGATGCTGAAGCCCAGCCAAGTGCTTCCGCCCTTCCCGCCTCTGCTGCTCGGAGGGGAGCGTCTGGGATGTCATTTTTCTGGGAAACGTTGCTCTTAGCTGGTTGGCCGAGCCACTGGCACTCCCCCATGGCTGCCCCTGGGGACCCGTGGGTGGTATCAAAGCCATAACAGAACTGGTGACCGGGTGTGGCCTCTGAGACGCTGTCAGGACTGGTCCAGGATGCGGTCTGGGCACTGGGGATTTTAATAGTTCCCTGGGCTGGCCTAGCATCTGGGTCACTACCCGGTGTCCAGGTCAGGACCCAAGTCACGATTCGCTTCCAAGGAGGTGCCCGACCCACCTGGGGGTGTGGGAGTCCCGTCCGGAGCCCAGTCCCCTGCACCTGCACGTGGAGAAAAGGTAAACTCAGGAGCCCACACTACAGCCTATGAAGATAAAGAAGGGGTGACTTCGCCCGGCTGGGGAGCTCAGTGGTTGAACGCCAACCTACGAGCCAGGAGGTCTCCGTTCGATTCCCGGTCAGGGCACAGGCCCGAGTTGCAGGCTTGATCCCCAGTGTGGGGCGTGCAGGAGGCAGCCGATCCGTGATTCTCATCATTGATGTTTCTCTCTCTCTCCCTCTCCCTCTCGCTCTGAAGTCAATAAAAATCTATTTTTTAAAAAAGGGGTTCCAGCTCCCATGCCCGTGGCTAACAAACACAAGGGGGCTGGTCTCCAGCACTTGCCCCTGGGCCTGGCCTGGCAGGGCCTCAGCAGACACTGGTGGGCGAGTGACTGATGATCTCAAGTCCGTGAACGGCCAGACTTCAAATGTGGATCTTGGCCTCCCCAAGGCAAACATGCCTCTGAGGGTCAAATATATGAGGAAATTCCTTGCCCAGAAGCAAACACACGCCACCCC